CACTTTGTTAGCACACATTGCTCTGCCCTGACTGTCAAGACCTATCAAGATTTAATTCAGGACAACTGAAGGAAGCAGACTGTAATGTATTCCCCAGATTCATTTCCTCTCCTACTGTGTATCACCCACTGGTGGGAAAAATAGTCACTAATTGCTTTCTGTAGCATGTTTGGGTTCAGGGAGATGCATTTTGACAGGTGGTTAAACCCATGAATTTATATCTGGTCAAAACCTGGTACTGAGATGACTGATCAAGTAGTGGGGGGGGGAGATCATCTGCTTTGATAGGAAGACCCTCCAGTTTGTGGATCAGACACCATAGTTGATCTATGGAGGGAGAGTTCCCAGATAGGGATAACCAAGTGGGAAAAATCCCTAATTCTCTAGGCAGACCTCGTCACTACTGATGGTCCACAAAATGAAGAGAGGCTGTGCAGCATTTCTGAATCAGCACAAGAAATGAGTGCTGAAGAATGTGACGAACTAAGAAGGGTTTCTCTTCACTGCATACTCTGCAGAGTTGTGGTGTTTTTAAGCACAGGCTGAGTGTGTTTAAACCCATGTTAAAAAATAGCCTGAAAAACAGATGAAAAGAGCAGTGGGAGCTGAAATATAATCTCTCCTGCTTTCATTTCACTACCCCCTGGGTGATCTTGATTGAAAAATATTTAAAGGAGCAGATTTTTATTTGGAACTCAGACTGTCCACCTTCAGGGTCTAAGGCAAATTACTTTTCCTTTCCTGATTTTTTTTATAAAATAGTTATAAATAACTCTTTTGCATTTTCTCACAATTCTAAATAATATAATTGTTTGTGAATGTTCTAAATGAATTTATCTAATTGAATTCCATTTAAAAGAGGATAAGGTGATAAAAGATTCCTGCCCTCACATTCCATGTGACAAGCCGTAGAAACTTGTAAGCACCAAAATTAATGCTTTATGTATGGGATCTTTTTCTCTCTTTCTCTGAGTAATATACAGGTCAGTATGTAAGTAAGCAAGAGCCCAATGTAGAAGCAAAATAAAAATATAGCCTGTCTTACCCACCAGTTAGGTTTCATGGAACTTTATGAAATGTCTCCTATCAAATATTATTCATAGCAGTCAATCCAGGACAAATAAAAGCTATAGATAGTTCTCCATTTATGACCATAATTGAGTCTAGCAATTATAAATCATGACAGTCAAGTGATCATGGGGTGTGTGTGAATCAACATCAGAACTTTGAAACCATGTCATGATGTTGGAGAGCAGCCCTCCTAATTGGGAGGAAGGATCAAGTAGGGAATTAGTCTGAACTCATTATATAAATACAAGAGGACAAGGTCTGATTCCCCTTGAATGCCTCTGAGCCTTATGCAGTTTTTCCCCAGTGAAAGCTGGCAGTTTGGGGAGATTCCTGTGAAACAGGCATACAACAACAAATTGAACTCTACACATGTAGTTCTGGTTATTTGCACTTTCTGCGTGTGTCCCTTTTGGGGGAGTCTGCTGTAACTTCGAACAGTCGATTTAAGTGACCAGGCATAAATTGAGGACTACTCTCCACAGTGTAATAATTCCTGACCAACTTGGTTCAAAGCGAAAGGCAATTGAAGTGCTGAACTGAACATCTCTGTGCAGAGACAATGAACCACTGATTTCCACTTACTAGAATTCTTCCATAGAAAATGTTGGTAGCTTCAGGCCCAATGGACTGTTGATTTGATCAGATAAGTCTTTCTTTACATAAAGAGAGCTGTACCTATAATTTAAAAGTACAGTTACAGTACCCAGTGCAAATATGAACTTCCCACTTTCAAACTAGTTGACAAAATTGATGACCTGTCAATTTTGTAGTTGTGAAGTTTTGAAGGAGTACAGGTACAGAAATATTTGTCTACATTTTGGTATTTATTGTCTCATTGCTGCATGAAGATCTGAGGATTAGGATATAACCTTGCAATTTTTGTTGAGTAATAACAGCTCTTCCAGTCAAGCAGCTTTCTATTTTCCATGTTTTATTTCTCATTTAAACAAATCAGAGCTTATTCAAATACTTCTATTTCAGGATACCAGACATTATATGAAGCATATTTAAAACAAAGGATATATGAGCTGAAAGGGGTCCCATAGGTCATCTAATTCAAACTTTGTGCAAAAATCTATTAAATTAGTGGTTTCTAAATTTTTTCTTTCATTGCCCAAAATTGCTTGTAGGTAAAATACTTTAAGTCAATTTAAATGTCCCTGTTGTAATTGTGTAATGGATTTGTGCACTGTTAGCAAAAAAAAAAAAACTTTACCAAAGGAGAGAACAATTAGTCAACAAAACAGCATGCCTCCTGAAGTTGTGGTTGCTCCATCACTGGAAGTTTTCAAAAATAGGCTGGCCAACCATTTGACTGGGATGGTATAAGGACTCCTGCTTTGAGCAGAGGGTTGGACTAGAAATCTCCAAGGTCCCTTCCAGTCCTATGATTCTATAAAACAAAATAAAATCCAGAATTTGTTCCTATAATCTTCTTATCTTTCAAGCAAGCCTCAAGCTGTATTTATTTTACAGATGATTGGTAATGATTTTCAAACTATTTATTATTAGTTTAGTTTTAAGATGGTTACCTTATCTCACTTAAGCTTTGCTTACTTACTCATAAATTCAAGAAATTTATGTATTTCGTTATTTTGTTTTGTAATCTTTATGTTTTACTTTTCAGCTCCTCATTTTTGATATTAATTCTATGTAACTTCTCTTTCTGTCCCACACATTCTAAATTGACCGTGGATTTAATTTTAGTTCCCTCTAATTGTGATAGGAAAATGATATGTGAACTACTTTTAATTGACATGTCCATTGCCTCTTTCTCAAATCCAGTCCATAGTGGGGGGAGCTTGAAGTTGAACTTAGCAGTTGCAGATTTAATGTAGTGCTTTTTTTCTCTCCTTCCAAATAATTTTCAATCTGGCCACAATGTAGCCCAAGTAATTAAATAAAATTCCTGGTGCAGTCACAGACTGGAACTAATCCACCTTCTGTTGGACACTTTGGGCTGCTGTGGGCATGCCTTCTCACTTGCATTCTTCAAATATTACTTTCCAAGGCCATTTGCTGATCAAGTATCATACAACTTCCTTATATAAACAAATGCAATGCTCTTTTGATAGCATGCTAGATCTGTGTTTGAAAACAATACTAATATTAGTCCTGTATTGCACAGGTGGTCTGGGAAATAGCTAGCCTCTACAAGCTGTTTACTTCTGGTTCTACCATAATGAATACTACACGTTTTTTTTTAAAACTGGCTTGCTGAGAACGAATTTTGCATGACTACTTTTTCCTGGGTTTTTTCCATTACTGGGAAGAAGAGGATTTTTGCCTATTTCAATACCATTTTGCTTACACCTTAGGCAGTTCTTGGGCTCTGCCAACCATGGCACAGCACATTCCCTTGTAGCACAATGGTTTGGGATACCTGTGTCATATCAATTTCATCAATTACCTGTGTCATATCAATCTATTATTCTTTTATACTTGGAATCTCAATACATTTCATCTTAACATATTACATTCAAACCTCTCCTGATTCTTTGTAATAGTTTGTAAATTATTGCAACCATTCCAGAGTTCACTTCTTCCATTTCACTTTTTATAGAAGTGAAATTAATAAGAGTTCTATGTGCTTCTTCATTTAATTCAGGTAACATGCTTGAACCATGGAGATGCTCCATTCCAATGATCTATCATTTGGGATTCCATTGCTACTTCATGTGCAAAGGTAGCCCACCTGACAGCCACATTTTTCTCATCTGTTTTTAAGACACCTTGGAAGATTGCTAAACTGTTTGTCCAGACACCTGCCTATATTTGCCCAACCCTGCTTCACACCACACTTATTTCCTGCCTGCAAGTAAGACTTGTTGGAAGGGAAAACAGCTGGGGCAATCTGTCAGATACTTTTCTTACTTGTCCCACATTAAATGTGTAAGGATAGCACCAGCCCATAATAAAGGCAAAATAGTGCTCAATTACTGAGGCAGAGCTATTTATCCTTGCATATTTTTCTGCCATATCTAAGACTGGAGGGAACCACATTCCCGCAGCCATGAGGAATAGTCCTGCATCCCATTCCATCCCATTCCTTTTCCTTGTCTCTTTTCATTTTGTGTTATTCCTTCTTTAATAGCAATGATTTGTTGTGCTCCCTGTTTTAATAATTGTCAGGTAAAATGACAGTAGTATTATCCCCATATCTAATTCAGGTTATTGGAAGGACAGTCTCTCAACTTATTTCCCCACTAGTGACCTATACCATCTTTTAGAGTCATCCAATAATGGTGTCAAAATAACAACAGTGAAAACAGGTTTTGTATCTTTTCAATGATGATTACTGGCAGGTAATGCTATGATATATGTGATTAGTGAGAAACAGCCTTGGATACTTAAGAGTTGTTATGAACTTGTGTTTGACATAAAATTGGAACCAAAAGCTTACCAGCTCCAGCACCTCACCTTTAAACATAGTGGTATTTCATTCATCATGGCATTAGAGGTTGAATTCAGGTTTTATTTGAAGAGCATTGACCAAATGTCCCATCTAACCCAACATTGCTTTCTGTTTGTCATATTTTTCCATAGATTGAAAGGATATTAATAGCCTTCAGCAAATACTGTACAGGAAAACCTAGTTTCTAAGTGAAGGAATATAGAAGAAGACAAAAGGGAATATATTTGTATATTGTATAACAATTTCTCTCTCTCCCTCTCTCTCTCATACACACACACACATCTATCTATCTATCTATCTATCTATCTATCTATCTATCTATCTATCTATCTATCTTATCCATCAACTATCTATATGTATTTATCATTGATCAAGTATTATGTGATATTGGATTGAATTCCAGATGTAATAGATTCATTGTCTTTTCTTTTTTGTTTCTTTTACAATAGAAAAAAAAGAAAACCAGTTTTATTGGATACTTTTATTTATATGCAAAACAGTGTACCATTCATGAGAGATATGAAAAAAAGTTTGGATAAAAACCAGTTTTCTCTATTTGCACTACAAAATATTGCTTTATACAAAGCAACATACACACACGCACACGCACACACACACACCAAAAAAACCCTGAAAAATACTAAAATCTTTGGATAACAGATATGTTCTCTCCCCTGACTCAGATGTACTTTTTAAAAATTTCACAGCAAAACAGCATATAACATTTTCTGCTTGCAATTTTTTTGGTTGTCATAAAAGAAAGTACTCCTGTTTTTTCCTTATATGGAAAATTTGTAATACACACACACAAAGACAGACAAACAAAACTATTCCCTTATCAATTATTTCCAAAATACGTCTTTAGACAGAATTACAGATCAGAATAACAACAAACATTTTAATTTCTATTTGAAAATAAAATCTTCAAGTAAACTGCTAGTATTTTCATTCCACACACACAAAATAAATAAAAAGTTATCAAGGACAAGCCCAAATATATAAAATACGTTTAAAAAGAGGGCATTGGTGCAATAAAATCAGAGCAAAATGAAAACCACAATCTGGTTTCCAATGAACACTTCCAGAACCAGACATTTATTCCACAGAAGAAAATGTAAACACTTGACTATAGAAACCCAGTTGGCACAAAGTCTTCAACGCAAAAACTTAATCACCCTCAAAAATTAAAAAATTGTCTTGGGGGAAAAATACTCTACTTTTGCTACTTAAATTAAAAAATAAATTATTTTTAACTGCACTCATGGGCCATACATTAAGGTCACAAGTAAATGAGATCTTTATTATTTTTGGATACAAAGAAAGGGGGCACTTGACAGTCTGTGTTGTCACTCTGTTTGTTTCGTAAAAAAAGAACCCCACCTTCCACACAAGATGTGCTCCTGTTTTGAGCGGCCCGGGGGAAGTCAACTCTCCGTCCAAATCCCCGGAGGGAAAACTTCCATTTCAAGTTTCTCTTTTCGGGCCTGAGTCGGGAAAGCCCTTTAAGGCACGAGCTTAAAGCCAAGGGGTCTCCAGCCGAGCTTCCGCCGGGTTCTCGAAACTTTGCTGAAAGGGGACCCTATCGTGGGGAAACGTTGAGGCGGGAGGGAGGGAGCTGAAGGAAGGGGCAGGTCGAGACCGCCCCTCCCTCCAAGACAAGGAGCCTCGGGGAGGGGGTTGACCTGGGGAAGGAGCGCTGCCTGCAAGGCCCAGCCCCGACGGCCACGGCTCCGGAGGGACCCGGCGGCCTGTCCACCGTGCCTGCCGTCCTTCCCCGCGAGCCCTGGTCCCCCGGCGCTTGCCCTACACGTCTAGGACGTGGTTGAGATAAGATATGTAGCAGATGGCCAAGCGCAGGATCTCGATCTTGGAGAGCTTCTTGTCCGGGGGCAGCGTGGGCAGCAGCTTGCGCAGCTCGGCAAAGGCCAAATTGAAAGCCTCCACGCGGATGCGCTCCCGCGTGGCGTGGGCCGACCGATACTTGGCCGTGGCTCGACGGCGCCGCCGCTTCTCCTCACGGCTCAGCGGCTGCGGCGGATGGGCCGCTGAGCGACCGCCTCCTGCGCCCTCGCCATTTGGCGCCTCCAAGTCGGAGGCGCAGCAGCTCCGCAGCCCCTTGGCCTCCAGGGACTCCGGGTCGGACGGCGCTGACGACGGGTGGTCCGAGTCCACGGCCTGGTCTGGGCTCAGCATCATCTGCCGGGCGAGGAGGCAAATCATCATCATAAAAATAAACACGGGAGGTCAGTCAGTGCTGTCCGCTGTGTGTGCTCCCCCGCCCGGCTCGTGATGGGCGGAAGGGAACCAAACACACCGGCTCGTGCCCTTCGTCCGCCCGCCTTCCCCGCCACCCGTCCGTCCCTCCCTGCCCTGGCCAAGGTAGCGCAGCTTTTGTCCGAAGCTCCCGGCGGGAGTCCGCGGGTGCATCTGGGGAGCCTGGGCCGGGTTGATCGCGTGTGCCTGCCGCTTACTTCGCGCGCATGAGCCGGCAGGGCCGGCTGAAGATTTTGGACGTCGAAGGGAGCTGCTGCTGCTGCTGCTGCAAGCAGGCCTGGCGAGGAGGCTCGCTTGAGCTGCCAAGGCTGGGTGTGAAAAGAGGCTGCTGGCCGCCTTTGACTGGGGTGGCGCGATAGGGAGGGAGGGAGGCTGCTAACTACGGGAAGCCTTGCAAAAGCAGAAGCGGCCGCCTCCCGTCCGGCTACAGCCCGTTCTCATTGTGATTTCCTTTTTATTCCGCTATTAGCTCTCCTCCGAAACGCCATTAACATCCTGGCTTTCGTTAAAAAAGGTTTTCGTTTTCGTAAAAAAAGCTTTTCGTTAAAAAAAAAGGTCTCATTTAATAAAGATATTACGATCTAGTGATTATTACATAGTGATTGGATCAACTGGAGAGCAAATATAGTGGAAAACTTAATTGAAGTGTTTTGTAGGAACTTTTATCCTTATCTGAGAAGGTAGTGCAACGCTGTATTGTTTCTACTGTAATCAACATGACTATTTTTCATTTACACCTCGGTTCAAAACGTTAGGCATTTTCCTAAAAGGACCCCCAGTAGATGTTTTCAACATTCTGGTTTCCTTTAAAGGTCCTGATTGCTTTCCCTGGAAGATAAGCAGCAGTGACTTATCTCAGAGGGGTCTTTTCAGCGAGACCCTTGTGAAACTATGTTTTTCTTGACTCCTCGGCCATTCAAAGGCGACACATCCTGCCGTCGAACTAGTCTTGTCTGGGTTAGGAGATTTTTCCTGCGCCCGGCCGTGTAGCAATCAGTTATTTTCCCAAAGAGCCTCAAGAGAGTTTTGAGCTCTTTCTGATCTCCTGGCTTTGGAGGAACGGGTCCGAACTGCTGCCGGTTGGTTCTTGTTTGCGCCATTTTCACAGGTAGCGTGAGCCCGAATCTGAGGCGGGACCTAAGGACCCTTCATGGGACCCCAGAAAGCAAATTCTCAGCTGCAAGGGAAAACAACCGGACAACAGAATAAGGACTCGGTCTCCAGAATGTGGCTGTCTGGCGCAGCTCTTTCTCCCTCTCTCCTCGTTGGCCAGCGGGCGCCCGGCCAGGGACTGAACAGTACCGGATGTGACAGATCTGAGGATGCCTCTATCCCGCCTAATGGTTCTTCAGTAAAATTTCTGAACAGGGACGTGGAGCCCCTCTAGGTATATCTAAAGCTACCCATCGGAGATCTTTGGGAAATAGACAGAGGCCCTTTGCTGCCTAAGATCTGCCCAGTGGTCCCCGTGCGCCTCCTTTCCGGGCAAATGTCTCTTCAGCTTCAGTCGCGCCTGCTTGGCAGCCGACTCGCCTGGGGGTATCCATCGACCAGAGCGACCGCTCAAGGGACAGGCTGGGGCCAGGGATCCAGGTCCTGAATGCCCGCTGCGCTGCACCATAGTCCCGAGGTTCAAGAGTGTCTCCCCCATAGAACAAGGTTGGGGCGGGGCGGGGATTTACAGCTCGATGCGGGCTCCATCTGTCAGCATAACCAAGCCAGGGAATTTCCTAGACGCTTTGGCGGCTGGCAAAGCCCAAAACAATGCAGCAGCGACAGACAATCAGAGAATAGCCACCTCGGAGACACCCTTATGTGTCTGGGTTGGAGGAGGGGAGGAGTAAGGGCGGAGGGGGGGAGAGGACCTGTGACCAAGAGCGAGTAAAAGGAGGAGGAGAAGCTGAGAAAAGAAAGGGATTAGAAACAGAGAGTCTTACGTGGGAAATATTGGGGTGGAGGTGGTAATGTTGTTGTTGATGATGATGATACTAATGATAGGGAAAATGGATGACAAGAAACCCTTTCAAGATACCTCTATCGAAAATCCAAGTTGGAAAATATACATTTTTGCTTTAAGCCTTTTCATTGTCAAAGGATACGCACACATATAAACCTACTGAAAAGCAAAGCAGGGCGGGATCTATCAAGCATAGAGAGTATTATTTGGCAAACAATAGACTAGAAGGACTTAAAGTCCTGATAGATTTCCCAGCTCCAGTGACTTTTTCCTGTAGACACACTGGATAGTCCAATCTCAGGAGCGCTCCTAGAACGAGAACGAAGAGAGAAGTGTCCTTTTTGTAGCTGCTACCTTTTTTCCTTTGAAGAAACGTCTGTTTAGGATCGTAGTAATAATCAGGAATTTGAAAATCCAGATCAAAACAACATTCCTCTTCGGTGGATAACTTTGAAAGGAAAATGTTCCAACTTGAACGAACATGGGAACTTAAATACTTAAATGAGGAAAACCAATTTGAATGATCAGCTTTTAAATATTTGCATTTAAAATGTTGGTCAGTGGGGATCAGCAGCGAAAAATATTCTAAGCAAACCGAATTTGCCTAATTTTTATCTTGGAAGGAATCTTACGTTTTCAGAATAAATTTCTAATAAATTCCTAATAACTTTGCTTTAGGTGTGAAACCAAAGAACGGAACATGGATTTCATTAAAGTCCGTATTTATGTCTATCTCAAAACAAAACGTTTTCTTGTTTGTTAGATGGAATGCCGCCAATTTTACCCGTACGTATTAATATTTTAAAGGAGTTTACCTTGTAGGAGAATCTTGCCTTAAACGCCTCCAACCCCTTTTGCGCCTGAAATAAAATGCGAGGAGGAGAACATCTTAGACATAAATTAGAGGAGGAAGAGGAGAGGAAGGGATCCGCATATAATAAAAGAAGTAAAAAGTAAAATGTATTATTGCTAGAAATAGTTCTGAGTCCTTTTCAAAACTCGATCGAGTTCTCAAAGATCGAGAAATGGAGGAGGACGGAATAATTGTCAAAAGACCAAAAGATTCCTAGGAAAATTAAAATGCGTTAGAAAAAACACGGTCCCCGGGAGTGGGGAAGAAAACAAAGCTCTGCAGATCTATAGTATATCACGCTAAATTGTGCTGATATTTAAAATTATGCTGGAAAGCCGCGTCCGCCGCTTCCGCCTCCTCCTGCCCGACCTCAATAAATAACAAAAGAGACGCGGCGCTTCAGGAAGGGAAGCTCCGGCCCTTCCAGCCGGCGGCGCGCGGGCAGGATCTTCGGGCCGGGCCTGCCGCTCACACGTCGTCGCCGAGTCAGATCGTTCGGTTGCAGCCAAAGCTTTTGTGCAAACGGAGGGCACCTTCTTGGCTCGCAGGTCTGGCTGGCGGCGTCCAGGTCCCGGGAACAGCTCTAGCTGTACTTCCAGCCCCGACTCTTGGCGGCGGGGGGGGGGGGGAGAAAAGGCACCCAGACTAGATTGCTTCCCCAGGCCCTTCAAGATGCGATCTGCAACATCCCCTGACGCCCTTGGAGCCCGGGAGCAGAAAGAGCGCGAGCAGAAGGCCGCCAGCTGTCTAGAAAAATCAGGGGAGCGCCCTGCAGCGAGAGGCGGCTGGATTGCCGTTTAGTTCCGCTGGGCTTATCCTAGAGAAGTGGCCGGATATAAAGGCAGAGTAAAGGGCCGGCAAAGGGGAGGCGGCATGATTCCCTCCGAAGTTGCTACCCAATGGGCGATCCCATTGGATTGCCAACGAGATGCGAGCGGCTTAATTGGACTTGACATCTGTCACCGTGTGGGAGTTTCACAGTCCAAATATTATCAGTCGGCAAGCTCAGATTCTCCCTCCATCACAACAACTATTACGCTAGCTAAAGAGGAAGAGGAAGCCCATCCTCCATTCCTTTCTCTCCAGGGCAAACGTAGACCTGCACCTGTGGATGGGTTTCCTTAGCGAGCCCTGGAGGCTGTAAGTACTTTCAAAATCCTCAACACCTCCTAGGAACAAACATCTTCAAGACCCATGGATGTGCTAGGGAAACATTTCCAGCCCCTGTCCTCCTAAAGTCCCATTCTCAAAGTGGTGACGCAACCCTTCCAGGTATCTATGTATGCATGAGGCAATTGTTCCGTGCACATATTCTGACATAAGTTCAGAAAGTAGGAGAAAGTGGCAATATGGCCAACAAAGAAGGGCAACACAAAATTGTAATGTGGAAAAGGGAAGTTGTATCACGTACACTGTTCCTCCAACATCTGTGGCCCAGCTGACTTATCACACCATCAGGTTATATCCCTAGGTTCTGTACTGCAGGGAAAAGAGGGAGCACCTAGAAAGCTAAGCTGTACACTGTCGGCCTGTTGTGGTTGTGGCTCAAATCCATGCCCCACTACTTCTCCAAGATCCAGGGGTGGGCAAATCCAAAGGGGACATCCCTAAATCAAGTGTCCGTACAGATTAGTACAGAGGTATTAATGCACCTGTGGGCAGAGTGTCAAACAGATTAGCAAGAGTTGCAGCCTGACAAGCAGGAAGCTGCTGCTACACAGAAAGGAGAGCCAGAAGGCAGAAGCAAAAGAAGAGAGGAACCCCTATGTCCTGAATTATGTGTTACCTCACGAAAGCTGCATCAGAGCCCAACAGGATGATGACAAAAATGGGCATGAAGAGATCAGTACCATGGAGAGTGTCATGGTCCATTTGTGTGGGTAGGCTATAACAGTCAAAATTCACCTTTAGATTTGTGGGTCTTAGGGAAGGAATGGTAGCAGGTTGACAGACAGTGTTCTGGGGCGTGTCAGGAAATGCATGAGTGTTTGTATGCAGGGAACTATGGAAAGAGGCAACTGTGTATCATTTATGGGGCAACTCTTCAAGGGACAGAGTGGTAGACCAGTCCTTCTCAAGCAGAGAACATAGAACAAAACAGCTTATCTGAAGGATGCTATCCAGCCACTTTGGCTGGACACCAGCACCCCAGCATCTAAAGTACCAGGGAGGAAAGAGTGCATTATGGCCAGCCACCTGTGGTAGATGTATTTGTTATCAGTGCCTGATCACCTGCAAAGAGTAGTTTATTGATATTATTTCCATTCTTGAGGTTGGCTTCTTGCTTCAATGTGGGTGATAAACAAGAGTGATAATAGTACAGAACTCCGTTTTACTCTAGACATTACTGTGAAGAGTTCTGATGTTCCTTGGTTTGTTCTGTCTATACTTCTGCAATCACTATATAACTAGATTCATTAAGGTAGTCCTTGACTTACAGCTGTAATTGAGCCTGGGATTATGATAAGTTGTTGCAGTCATAGGTTGAGGGACCTATGTGACCTATGTAATTTTCTGACCATTTTTGTAGTGGCTATTACAGTCATCAAGTGAACCCATTCATTTGAATGGGAATTATTTTGCTGGAACCCAGCAAAAGCCATCTTGAATCATTGTCATGTGACTGCAGAACCATGCAGCTTGTTACTAAATTGATCTGCCCAGCATGTGGTTGTGTGTGTGTGTTGTGTGTTTGTGTGTGTGTATGTATGTATGTATGTAGGGAGCGAGGGAGAGAGAGAGAGAGAGAGAGAGAGAGAGAGAGAGAGAGAGAGAGAGATATGTGTGTTTGTGTGTGTGTGAGAGAGAATGGCTATCGTAACTTCAAATGATTGTAAAACAACTGGTTGTTAAACAAGGACTACCTGTTAATATTCAATGTTATAATTGGGTTAGAATTTCTCCTTCAAAAAAGCACTAAAATATCTATGCAATTGGATATTAAAGTAAATAATTGGAATGTTTTCTAAAATATTATTAGAATATAGACAAAAGCACATATTATATAGTATTTAGTCATCCTGACTAGTCAATGGCATTTGTTGAAACCAAAGTCTATAAGAGATGGCTCTTGTATACATTTTAAATAATACTCATATTCAACTTTGCTTTTATTAAGTGCACATCAAGATATAATGTTAGTTTGTGTGGCTTTAGAAAAACTCCTTTGAGGAAAAACATCCAAGCCCTGATCTTAAAAAGTGAGTTATCAATTAAATTGTTGCATTTTTTAAAGTACTTTGGTGAAAAGCCAAAGGCATACCTATGATATGACCAACAAAGTCAATTTTATTTGCTCCAAAAGTATAAAAGCATTAAATGCTTATATACAAGTGTTCAAAGCCTGGGGAACAAACAAAGCAAACTAGAAGCAATAGTACACGAGGGAAAGTATGACATAGTTGGTATTACAGAAACCTGGTGGGACAAAACCCATGAATAGAATGGACTGATAGATGGATACAAATTGTTCAAAAGAAACAGGTTTACAAAAAGAGGAGGGGGAGTTGCACTTTATGTAATAGAACACTACATATCTATAAAAACGCACACAATCAAAGATAAAAACTCTCCAGAATGCATATGAGTCAATATAAAAAAGAAAAAAAAGTGACATTATCATAGGTGTATATTACAGACTACCCAACCAATCAGAAGAAATAGATGAACTCTTTGCCAACCAGTTAACAAATGTATGTAGGAAGCATGCCACAATAGTAATGGATGACTTCAACTACCCAGATATCAACTGGGAGACAAATTCTGCAACGAGTGATCAAACAGATTCCTAATCAACCTAGCCGACAACTTTGTCATTCAAAAGGTGGAGGAAGGAACTAGCCGTAAAACCATGCTGGACTTTATTCTTACTAACAGAGAAGAAGTGAGAGAGGGAGTTGAACCTTGGGCAACAGTGACCACGTCATACTGGAACTTAATATAACGCTAACACTAGCAACAGAAAACAATCCAACCAGGGTCTTAAACTTCAAAAGAGCTGACTTTAATAAACTCAGAGAGAACCTAGGAAAGATCCCATGGATGAAAATACTAAAGGGGGAAAACAACTCAAGAAGTGTGGGAAACCCTGAAAAATGCGATCATAAAAGCCCAGACCCGCACAATACCACTGAAAAAGAAAAACAAGAAATTCAAGAAGAAACCAATATGGCTGCACAAAGATCTCTCTAACAAATTAAAAGACAAAAAGGACAAGTACAAAAAATGGAAAGAGGGGCACATAACCAAGGCTGATTATCAGCAGACAGCCAGAACATGCAAAGAAGAAATCAGGAAAGCAAAGGTTCAGAACGAACAAAGACTCGCAACAGAAATCAAGGACAAAGAAAGTTTCTTCCAACATATTAACAACAAGAAAAAAGTCAAAGAAACTGTAGGCCCACTAAAGAAAGAAGATGGCAAGGAAATTACAGGCAACAGGGAGAAAGCAGAGCTGCTTAACTCATACTTTGTGTCAGTCTTAACACAAAAAGAAACTATAGCCCAACATACAAAAAAAAAAAAACACTGCAAAAGACACACTAGAAACAAAAATTAAAATAAGCAAGAAAATGGTAAGAGAACTCCTACACAACCTTGACAAGTATAAATCACCGAGACCCGACAGATTACATCCCAGAGTTCTGAAAGAGCTGGCAGATGTTATCTCAGAAATGCTGCACCACATCTTTCATAAATCCTGGAGCACTGGGGAAATGCCCGAGGATTGGAAAAGAGCTGATGTCCCCATTTTCAAGAAAGGAAAAAAAACAGACCCAGGAAACTACAGACCAATCAGTCTAACATCAATACCTGGGAAGATCCTGGAAAAGATAATCAAAAAACAGATCTGTGAACAACTAGAAGCAAACAAAGTCATAACTAGTAGCCAGCACGGCTTTGTTAAAAACAGATCATGCCAAACCAATTTATATCATTCTTTGATAAAGTGACTAAACTAGTAGATCAGAAAAATGCAGTGGACGTAGTATACTTAGATTTCAGTAAGGCATTTTACAAAGTTAGACCACAACCTACTAATTGACAAGCTAGAAAAAGGTGGAATAGACAACCACCAGATGGATCTATAGCTGGCTGACAAACCAAACTCAACGAGTAGTCCTCACCGGCACTATATCCACATGGTGAGAAGTAAGCAGTGGGGTACCACAAGGTTCAGTCTTAGGCCCAGTACTCTTCAACATCTTCATAAATGACTTAGATGAGGGAATTGAAGGGGAACTCATCAAATTTGCAGATGACACCAAACTGTCAGGAATAACCAACACTCCAGAAGACAAACTCAGAATCCAAAAAGATCTTGACAAACTCAAACAATGGGCCGTATCCAACAAAATGAGTTTGAGTGTGGAGAAAAGTAAAGTCCTACACTTAGGCAGGAAAAACCAAAAGCACGAATACAGATTGGGCAGACCCGGCTTAAAAACAGTAATTGTGAGAGGGATCTTGGAGTCCTAGTGGATAATCACTTGACTATCAGCCAGCAGTGTACAGCAGCAACCAAAAAAGCTAATACAATCCTGGGTTGTATAAAAGAGGCATAGAATCAAGATCACGCGAAGTACTAGTACCACTTT